CAAAAACTTTGCCGACTATTCAGCATATCTAAACAAGAAAACATTCGGAATGTCGTTGGGACCGTGGCTCTTCCTAACGTCAAGGTTAAGGAGGGCCGCAAAAGCTCCCTCTTCAGTAATGCTGATGTCCGGAATCACTATTCTAGAACTTTCATAACTTGGAACTATTCCCGTTTCCACAGTAAATATAGACGTGAAGTACTCGTTGAAAGCATTTGAAATTAACTGCTTGTTATTTTTTACGATATTGCACAGTCTCATGTCCGAGAAAGAACATTTCTTTCGTTTCAAAAACCTCCAAAACTTTCGGGGATCACTAAGCAGGTAGTTATGCAAGGTCACGTTAAAAAAACGGTGTTTAGCATTTTTAACAGACGACCTCATCTGTCTGCGCAAAAAAGGTAAAGACGAAATGTTATTCCCGTTACCAAATTTACGAACTCGCCGTATTTTACGCTTCAAATGTAGAATGTCACGTGTAATCCATGGGTTAAACTTTTTCACTCTCCTAATACGCAATGGAACCAACTTCTGAATGCAGCGCTGAACTATACCCCTAAACCGTAACCACAATTCATTGGTAGTACTTGTAACAGGATCATACATATTGTAAAAAAGCGAATAACTTTCCTGGAGAACGCCTAAAATATCGACATCATCCGCACTGTTAAAGTCACGGTACCGCTTAATGTCGATAGTAGTTGATAACTGACAAGCCAACGTTAGAGTGCATACTACTAAAGAGTGATCGGAGATACCTTCGACTATTTCGCACTGGGCACCTTGTCGCGCAATCTTAGAGGAAACAAAAAACATGTCAAGAAGGCTTTCACTGGCATTAGTAACACGTGTCGAACTACGAACGACTTGAGTCATATTGCATGAAAAAGCAATGTCAACCAACCAACAAATGAGAGTGCTGACACTCCCGCAGTGGTTGCATATCATCCCAAACAATATATGGTAAATTAAAGTCACCCGCTAGTATAACATGAGTGTAACGATGGTAAGATGCAGATATAAAGTCTTGTAGTGCCAGCAGGTGTGAAACGCCGGCATGAGGCGGCCGATAAAAGCACCTACAAGGATTGACGTCGTTGAAAAAACAAGCTTTACCCAAATCATTTCAGCATCGAAAGTACAGCTCACAATAGAGCATGATATGCTATCTTTCACAGCGATAGCCACACCCCCGCCTCTCGAACAACGATCTTTTCGAAACATTTTGTAACCAGCAGGAAACAGCTCATCATTCGTCACTTACTCATTAAGCCAAGTCTCTGTGACGACGACCACTTCTGGTTTGTATGTCAGAGAGACGGCCTCTAGCGCCCTTGCTTTGTTTAGCAGACAACGAACATTCAAATTTAGGTGCCTAGAGGGGAGGATGCTCCATTTGACTGCGGAGGCATACTATCACGGCCTGAGGTGTCACTGCTCGGTTTCAAAATGCCAATAAATGGCCTGAACAACAGGCCCGCGGGCCACAACTCAGCATTTAGAATCTTATCGAAATCATTTTCACCTACTGACACATGAAAGGAAGAGTAGCTCTCGTGCTTCGTGGTTAACTTCGTACAAACACAGAACTGTGGACAAACTGCACTGTTCACAATGTCAGCAACGTCGTCACATGTAGTCGACGGATGCAGACGTGAAACAAAGAGTGCTCGACGCCTAGGACGCGTAGGAGCGGCAGACAGCTTATTGTTTGCGCCAGTTCCCACAGAAGGCTCATATAAAACATGTAGTCTCATATAAAACAAACCTTATTTGTTGAACCTTGTTTTAAGCCTTTCTATCAGCTCCGCCTTTGGAACTTTGTTCGCAGAGCTGCAGAGTGGTGGTGGGTCCTCGGAAGGCGTGATCAGGACGAGGCCTCGAGTTTTCATCTGGGCCCCATCCCTGACCACATCAAGAAGCCTCCGGATATAGTCTGTAACAAAATAGTTCAACATAATAAAATTTAGTTCATGTGCGAAGTGTCAAAACGTCTGCGCATAACTTTGCAGATTTACATAATCACCTTGACTTCAATGAATGGTATAAATATTTTAAATATTACTGTTCCACCAGACTTCAGTACCAGTAGCCCTTTTTGCTTTCAGTTTGCAATCTTGAATTAAACTGTGCAACCAAGCTAAATAAACATAAAAGCTGTTTGATGCATACCATATATTCGTCACTCTTTTCTTTTGACTGCCACTGGTTCCCCTCCATTGGCCTTGGGGTGCTTCACGTCATAGCACTTGTCGCCCTCCTCTGTCGACGCTTGAGGTCGGTTGCCATTTTCGTTGAAATGGAGGACTGCAAGCAAGGGTTCTGAAGAAAAACTTTGATTTTCCAGAGATAATTGTCAAGATGATGAGAAACAATGATTTTCTAGAGATAATTGTCGAGATGATCTCGCACCAACATCCTGCTAGGATGACCGCGACATGTACAGAAATAGCAGTGTATAAATGTTTTTATTTGTATTTCTCAACACTGCCTTATTAAAAAATATGAAACAATTATTAGAAGAAAATGACACCATTTGAGGCTGCCACATCAAAAGATCTTGCGTGTTACAACTCACCTTGCCGTCAGCCCCTTGTACGAATATTGGCATAACTTGGGACAGAGGTGGTTCAAGAGCCCATGAAACGCCTCCACGGTGTATGTCTGGTAGCGCGTGGAGAGTTTTGGCAAGTCGGCCAGCAGATATCGCTTGGTTACGATGGCTTGAAGCTTTTCGAAGGCCACAGAGTCTGGAATGAGCGCAATTGTGAGAGAAAAGACGGCTAGGGAGGGATGGTAAAGCGACCAGAAAGGATGAGTAGTAGTTAAGATTTGATACGTACCATCCAACAGCCAATCTCTGGGCTCAAGCTCGCCGTGGGCACAGGAAGAAAATCGGGCATCCGTGTGGTTGTGGATGTCCTGAACGTGGTTTAGAACGGACAGCCACTTAGGGACAATGAGGTCCGGATTTCCCTGGCTGGAAGCAGCCGCCCAGCATGGGTGGTTCTGCACTGGTCTGCTCAAGAGCGCAAGCTCGGCACAGGTGGGGCTCCTCATGGCCGCGACAAGCTCTTTCTTGATGCCTGAGAATCAGAATATGCGTTTCTGAGAACAACAGACCTTTATTCAGCTAAATGAGGAATTACAGAAGTTGTAAGTCTTGTTTAACAACAAGAATAACTATTTGTACAGCCCGTTAATCTTTGGACGCTTCATCACGATTCATTTTCGAAAAGCTCTGTAGGCAAGCACACCAGACTGCAGCATGATGAGACTTTGAAGAGGAAGCGGGCCACTTTGGATAGACTTCAGAGTATGAAATAAATATCGACCTAAAATAATGAGATAAATATAACAAATCTGCCTTTTCGACACTACCACGTGACCATGTTCAAGCTTTATATTTGGTCTTAGCGAACTCAGGCATGCTGGCTGCACATAATTCGAGAGGTTTTTTTATAGCTTGCCACATGTTGTATGTTTTTATTCGCCGTGGAAGACGAGTCCCTGACTCCAGAGGGGTCCAAGCACCTACGCGTGTACACGGATTCGAAAGAGGCCCTAGCCACTTTCCCGAAGCGAGACTCACCCAGCAAAACGGTAAAAAAAATAAAAGCTAGGGCGAAGACCCTCAAATTTAGAGGAGTTAAAATCACCATCTCCTGGGTCCCGGGCAATGCCGGGATCGAGGGGAACGAGAGAGCACACGAAGCCGCGCGGGAGCTCATTCCTTCTCCCTACCCCCCCGCAACGGGCCAAAGTGCGATTCTCGACAACCCTCCGCCCGCACGTATTTAAGAGGACTCTGATGACGAAGAGGAGCCTGACTGGGACGAGGAGTCAACCCTTGCCCGCCTCGAGCGGCGAAGGGTCCTGCGCAATAAGCTACCTGAAGACGATGACCCACTGCCAAACGGGTACGGTCGGTGGGCTACAGTACGTCTTCGGAGACTCCGAACCGGAACGGCCGTCTCCCCAGCAGTTCGGGCTAAGTTCGAGAGATGTGCGCTCAAGACAGATCTAGAAAGAGAACACGCCGACGATGGATCTTGCAGACTATGCGCAACTGGACGACAAGCCACAAGTGCCCATCTCTTATGGGACTGTGTGGAGCTCAGCCGGACGCGGGAAGAAGCCATTCGAAAACTGCAACCTAAGCTGCGGCCGGGGTGCCTTCGGGACTGGATACACCCGAGGGGCGCACCGCAGCACCGCAAAGCCATATTAGACTCGCTTCGTGACTTTGTCGCGACAGCAAACATCCAGGACTCCATCGGAATAGACATTTCTGGTACGCCCCTACCTATCGACACCCCATTCCCCCACCCCCTTCTCTCTCCGATGTAAGTGGACAATTGATTAGAGAGAGTCGTACGCGCTTTACTTCTTTTTCTATTAATAAAACATGTTCAATCAATCAATCATCTATCGTTCGAAACTTTCAGCCAGCACACGCACTGTATTAAAGAGTTGTTTTAATTGCAATATTTTGGATCCCATTAGCTACTGATTTCTTTTACAAAAGGAAGGCAGCTCTGGGGATCCAGACACAGATTCCAAAACAGGCAAACGGTACCTTTCGAAACGTGCCACACGTCGAACTCGAGGCGAATCTCAGGCTTTTCCTTCTTCATGAAGGCTTTGCCTTGTACATGACGGTCGGTGATGAGGAGCTTCACGGTCAAGCCTTTCGCCTCCAAAAAGCTGAGGCTTCTCTTTAGCCCCTCCAGCTCCATACGACCACTGCCGCCCACCTCATTACACTGTCAAGTGAAAACACATTACATTAGGCACTACACACATAATGTAGCCTATCAATATTTGTAATGAAAGGTTCAGACTTTCAAATTCGCTAGTACAATCAACAGTAGACACTCTTCCTAAAGGTTTGTCTAAATGCATACAAAGATTTAAACTGGTGCTCAGAGTGCTACATTCATACCTGCACAAGTTCGAAATGAACAACCTTTGTGGTCTCCAGATCCAGCACAGAGTATGTGCCGAACTTGACGCTGAACCCCGGCGAGTCGGCCCGACCATCCCCGGCCAGCCTTAGGGGATTGACCCTTGCCTCTTCCAGCAGGGAAGCCTGTTCGTGGGTCCACACCTGAAAATAAGATAGTATGTCTACTTCGTAACTTTCGGCTTATATTGATATTTCAAGCATTAGACAAGCAGTGAGTGAGCAGGGTGTTAGTATGATTGGCAATGTGATTGAGCAGAAACATGTCAACACTCACTCTACCAATAGCCGGCCAGAGGTGAGTCCGCTGTAGGGTGAAAAATGTAGAGCAGCTGACGACTTGCACACCAATGCTCGACAACATCCTCAAGGATGGAGATGGGTTCTGCCCTGCGAACAGGATAGCCGCGCAGAGCAGCAAGTTGAGAAGTGGTTGCTGATTCACGATCTCTTGGTTGACCCAATAGGAGCGGTGGCCTGCAGGGCATTCAGAAAATACCTCCACGACTGTGCCCACAGGTTCGATCGTCACATTGCAGCTGGCATAGCGCTCCGGACAGATCTTGAATAGTTGCCGAAATTTGGCCTCCGCCACCAAAAATACACGGCTGCCATGCCATGTTGTGTCTGTCTCACTGGAGCTATAAAAAGAAAAAAAAATGAGATTATTTAAACCTTTATTATGAGTTTGCAGGTGGGGTGGCAGTGTGATCTACTGGTACTTGATAAGAACACGAGGGTTCCTTCGGTAACGTTATGCCCAGGGGCGGATCCAGAACTCCGTTTTGGGGTAAGTGGGAAAATTTGTAAGATACTGTCCTCCCATTCTTTAATATCACCAAGGGGAGCCAGTTATGTCAAATTGCCCTCTGACAAGGGGGGGGGTCGACTTTGTTTGGGGGAGGCGGCCGGCCGTCCGCCCCCCCCCCCCTTCGGATCCGCCCCTGGTTATGCCTCCCTGTAAAGTGATATGTACAGTAAGAAAAAAAAGTGAAAGCCGTTTACCAATCCCTGTAACGCCGAATTGGAGCGCAGCTCTTGAGGAGGAGGAGGGGAGGGTACTGGGGGTCACGTGTTCTCCGGGGGGGGGGTCACGTGACCCCCCTGAGGGCACGTGGCATTGGTGGGGTCACGTGGGGGCAAACACGTGCCCCCTAAGAGGTCACGTGATCTCGGGGTGTCACGTGACTCCCCAGGTCACGTGACCCCCCCGGGTCACGTGACCAAAATTTCTACACTAGATTTAGCGGGGAAATTTTTCCGCTAGATTTAGCGGGGAAATTTGTTCCGCTAGATTTAGCGGGGAAATTTTTTCCGCTAGATTTAGCGGGGAAACTTTTCTGCTAGATTTAGCGGGGAAATTTTTTCCGCTAGATCTAGCGGGGAAATTTTTCCGCCAGATTTAGCGGGGAAATTTACCCATAATGCACCGCGTGGTTACGCCGACGGCGACGCCAACGGCAACGGCGACGACGACGCCAACGGCGACGGCGACGGCGACGCCGCTCAAGCCGGAAACGGGCGCCTAAGAGCTGCGCTCTAAAAAAACTGCAGAGAACCCGGCGGGTGGCCTAATTCCTCCGCTGGAGAACCATGGCCGAAATCATGTTCCGCATTCCTTATTCATTGAGAATAATGATCATGTAGAGGTCAGAGTTGCGTGTGGGAGCTGCACAGAACTGCGATGCTCATATTTTAGTCAACACGTCTCACCATATTACATCAGGCCATTTCTATGTCACTGATGTTCGCACAAGCTGAGCGTACCTTTCCTCGTGGTCTTCTGAAGGATCGTAATCCTGATCTCGATCTTCCCGAAGGAAGATTGAGATCCTCCTACTGATCTTCCAAGTCGGTGCCAGGCTCTGGTTGGCCGATCTCGTCGCTGCCGTCCCCTCGCTCGATATTATTTGATTTGCAATTGCATGCACAGTTCACTTCTGTTTGTGTTTTTGCATGAGTTTACAGACGGGAAGCCTGCACTCCTGCAGAGAAACAATTTAGATAATGAAAAAAGCGTTACATATGATTACTGCATTTTTAAAAATATGAACATTGTTTCTGTGAAGAATAGAGTTTTAGTTTCGCATATTTGTTATTGTTGCGTTGCTAGCAGGAGGCTCACACTGTAACTTTAATGCAGAGATTAATTATGTGCCCAAAATCCTTAGCGTATGGTATACCCAAACTCGCTAATTTCATTGAAACTGCACCATGTGAACTTATGAAGCGAGATTGTCACATCATGTACCTTGTTATGATCATTGCCACCTCAAGAAAAAAAAACGTTCTGTGCTTTGTTCGTATAGTGCATGAGCTATATAGTTCTTACAAGGTTTGGTTGTTAGAGAAAGATACCCATAAAAGTAAATTGTTCATGCTACATAACGTGTTAAAGGTTGTTTACTATGGTTCTCATGGTGGAAATGAGTACTAAAATTCTAGCTTGCTTCAAAGCACAGATAGCTTACGCTAATGAATACCAGTAAACATTTTTGTTCCTTTCATACATTACTTCACACATTCTGATAGACTGAGACAGAGTTGGGCAAGCCAGAGACCGATGCGTGCTCTGGCTCGCACTCCGACGGGATGTTGGAATAAAACTAGCGTTGATTTTGTTCCTAAATGAGTAACACCAATACACCTTCACTGCATCATTCACATACCAATGGATTTTGCAGGAGAACTTGTATGAACATGCTGTGACCTCATTGTGGGACCCACTGACGCTTGTACACTTTTGTCACATGTGGGCGACTCCGGATGATGTTCCGTGTCAACATGATAGACACAGGGAAAACTCAAGTCCAGGCACTCATATGCTCCCTCGTCCTCGGTCAGTGGCTTTGAGCAGCTCAGTGCCTCCAATGCTGGTTCTGCCAGGTTGTTAACAGCAACAAAGGAGTAGCCTGTTGAGGATCCTGCTGCAAAAGAGAGTAGCTCTGAGATAACCTGCAAAAAGTATAAATTTGATCAGGTATACACTTTTACAATTTGTCAAGAATTAGTCGGGTGCACGGACAGACTATGCATGACTTAAGATAACAAAATTGAAAAGGCAATTGCAGAACTCAAGAGGGTAAGGCTCGTTCTACAGACACCTAATCTGGCCAAAAGGGAAAATTTAACACCAGCACTTCTTACACTAGCATAGACCAGGAACGTGGCGCCCTCAACAAAACTTTAGGAGGGCGCATGTTACAGTGCTTGCTGTTAATGAAGACCAGCACAGTAAGAACACGCAGCTGACCTTGATGGAGTCTGCCAGTGACGCGAGTTTGTCCACAGGAGTGACAGACGGCAACTCCGGGTGCGATGGTCAACCCCTCAATTGCTAGTTTGGAGCTATTGCAAACGCGCTTGAAGGAGCGCTGTAGACTGTCTTTATGCAACTACCCGGAATAAAAACAAGAATTCAGAATGCCAAAATAACAGGCACATAACGGTGTACGCAGTGTCTAGCTTTACGTCCGACGGAACCCGAATGAAAAATTAAAGTTGCGTCCGCAGTGTCTAGCGTTATTTCCGACGGAACTCGAAATAAAAATTAAAGATACGTCGGACGAAATTTTAATTTTTATTTCGAGTTCCCGTGGGAAGCAGCTCGAAACCTTGGATTAAAGTTACGTCGGACGGAACTTTAATTTTTACTCGTGTCTACAGTGCCGTCTAACGGCACTCCAATCGCGCCTACAATCGTGCCCCCCGCCTGCGTTCACACCGTTTCGCGGCGACAGTATGCGGCTGCTAATTACAAAGCTATTGACCCATTCGGCCATGTCGTACACGACGCTTCTCGGCGTCCAGCCGGCAAAGTACGTTACGTTCGACGTAATCGCAGCGCGCAAAACTCACAGCTTGGAAAAGGTCCAACTTATTGTGCTTACCTCAATCCATCTTCTATTCGTGAATGTGCGCTGAGGGGGCTGTCGCTTATGCGAAACGATGGTGGGAACGGCGCCTTGAATTAGACGCGGAGTGACAGCTAGGCCAAGCTTCTTCATGATCCGCACCTTGACGACATACATGTCTTCAGACAAATGCGCCGAACACTCCGCTTGCTGGGCACATATTTGTCTCTTTTCATCGCGGAGACCCACTGCTTGGAGATCCTCGGGTCGGAAGGAAACCTGTGGAAGTGAAATGGGCTGCCCCTCCGAGAGATGTTCGAGCAGCCCAAGGCCGCGCACAACATGGGCATTGTGCAAGCGCCACCATAAAAAAAGGACTGTTCGATAGACAACGCCGTGCACCTGTCACGCCGACGATAATGAACCACAGCGAACACCACGCAGAAAAAAGTGAAACGCAACCAGCTTCGAGTACGACGTTGACGAGCACTTGGAGGAGATGGCGGGAAGCCAGCAGCGAGCCAGGCGCGAGCGGGGCGAGCGGCGATTGCTAGGTACGTCCGTGACGTCGACTGACGTCACGAACTCTCTGCCAATGTTTACTCTCTCACCGACCTCGCAAAGAGGGAGGGGCTTGGCGCTCCTTTTAAAAGCGCTTTTATGTCTACTGCGCGCCTCGAATTGAAAAATGATTTTGATATTCGTAATCGTAGAGACCAAATGAAGATGATGCGAGTGTTTGTTTTTAATACAGAACCTCCCCATCTTCCCTTTAAATGAGACAACAGGCAATACCATCCCGAGAACAAGAGGCCTTTGAATTCGTATCGCCAGTCAACACCAACCGTTCGAACAAGATCACATGGTCATCTACACAGGCGCCAGTTTAAACGACGGCAAGGGGGGCACGGTCTGGCACTGCCCCACAAGACCGGAACTAAATGGCGTCCATAGCTGTCACGTCCTCTATGGGGGCGCCCTCCAGGCTGAACTCCTGGTAATATGGGGAGCCCGTTCCTCAATCCCTGGCCCCCTACCACAACACGACTTCAGAAAAAACTAACGGACGCCAAGGAAGCGCTCGAAGAAATCGAGAACATTAACACGGATGACGCCACGGCTCAGGCCATAAGGAAACGAGTGCACGACGAATTGGGCCTCGACCTACGCATTCAGTGGACACCCGCAGACACCTAATTGACAGGAGGGAACGCTGTGGCACATAACACAGCCACGGCAGCCCGAGGGAGTATTGACTCAGCCGCCCCTTATCCTCCTCTCAAGCCACCACTTAATCCCATGCATGGATCACAGACTCATCGCGAACGTAATATCGATGGTACCTCTCCTTTATCAGAGCCACACACCGCAGGGAACGTAAACGATTTCTTACAGCAATAACACCTCCGCTTCAAGTCGATCCGCAACTACGACTCTCACGCGCCCAACAAGTATTCTCAAACAAAGTATTAGCAGACACAGCCTTCACACCGCATATCATCAAGAAATGGTACCCCCCCGCCGCAGACATACCAGTTTGCTGCAGTCACTGCGGATCGGAGTGCAGAGCTAATCTCCTGCACCTTATCGGGGACTGCCCACGCTTCTCCACCGGCAGGACAGATACCGCATGCCGATCATGACACATTACTTGCACACCTCCGAACATGCCCCCCTAGCCAAAACGGGCGGCAGAGAAAAGCTCACCGGAGAAAAGCTCACCGGAGATAAGCTCACCGGAGAAAAGCTCACCGCAAAACCGGCAGATGCGGAGAAAAGCTCACCGATATTTTTTTAGCTTAGCTTGATTCTGCGTCAAACTTGGCAATTTAACACAATTCGTATTCGTCACTTCATTAAAAATATGTCCTCGCTTTTGTAATATTTTTGAGGTTCATTGGGCAAGTGTAAAATCAGAACATGGTACACCGGTAAAAAAGGCAACAATTTATTGACAGCTGAGGGTGCGCCGTCGGTAGCTCTGTCAGATAAAGAGGTTTGTTTTTTGCGAGGTAATATGAATAGCGGTGTGTGAATCGCTTGAGGTCCAAATATTGTGTAGTGCCTAATAGATAAGTAGATGTTTGTTGATGTCATCAGTGTCGGCTACGCTGTTTTCTTTCTGTTAATTTCACTAACAAAACTTTAGTTGCGAGAACAGCTTCGTCGTGTCGTGTTTGTTGTCCTCACCCCGTCGTCGTCGTTTGAGCGGTTTTTATCATGTATAACGTTTACCAACTCGCCCAATTCGCTACCTACCTAACAAAAGACTAGTTCTTATATAGCTCACGAGTAACAACGGTGACAGTGCGCAGCTCTGAGGGTCATGGGTGGCTCACCGTAGAAGGCACTATCACACAAAGGGAACGTGTGGAAACACCATGCAGCACGAACGGCTAGAAAGCGTGCATTTCCGTGGAAGCACGAACGGCTAGAAAGCGTGCATGTCCGTGGAAAAAAAGAAGCCTCGATATCCTGTTGACTGCTTTATCCTGTTTTCAAATGTTAACAAAAGATTTTAGTTAGGCTTTCGTTGCATAGAAAGCCACAAAAAACACTCTCCCGCAATTATTAATTTGGGAGCAATATACCCAATAAGCTTAACAAATATTACAAACGAGGACATTTTATCTTTTACAAAGCTGACGAATGTTAATGATAATAAATTGATATATGTCACGCTCGATCCAACAGCCTCCATATAAAAAGAAGAAAAAATATCGGTGAGCAAATTCTCTCCACATACGCTCAATGGCCGGTGAGCTTTTCTCCGCATCCGCCGGTTTTGCGGTGAGCTCTTCTCCGGTGAGCTTATCTCCGGTGAGCTTTTCTCCGGTGAGCTTTTCTCCGGTGAGCTTTTCTCCGGGATTCAGCCAAAACACGCTAGCCCAATGTGGTAGTAAGAGTGGCCTTGCGTGAGAATGTAAGGTGACTCCCAGTACTTCTTGACCAGCAGATTCTCGTACCGGCAGGAAGATTGAGAAGCAGAACGACACGATACCTTTTTCACCCCTAGAGAGATTATCAGGCGTGGACAACTCCTCGCAGATCCAATCTATCCCCCTCCTAAACCCTAATCCCGCACCACGGCTTTA